CCGCGGGGATCCTCCCGCCGAACCGGCCCCGCCCGGCCCAGGTAACCAGAGCAACCCGCCCCGCCCCTAGTCGTCGAGGCAACCCTCCAGCCCCGCGGCCCATCACAGGCGGCTTCTGGTCACTAGGGCAACCGCAGCGGTCGCCGCGGTAACGCTCCGCCCCTGCCCGGCCTCGCTGGTGCCGTCTCTTCGGCCAGAGCCTGGCCGGGTGAGGGACTGGGCGTCGCAGCCCCGGTGGCTGCTGCATCGCGTCTGCTGCTGTCGGCTTGTGTTGGGCGTGTTGTTGTGAGATGACAGAGGCAGAAGCAACCGGTGCGACCCCTCTGCCGTGAGGCGCCTCGGTGCTGCAGGACATACTTCTGTGGCGCCATCGTGTTTCCAGACCTGCTTACGAAACAGTTTAGAACTTAACTAATTTTGCACGTAGTTATTGATCTCTGCCAGCAGTTTCTGCTCACGGTCGCAAAAAGCTTTAAGCATCAGGTGTCACATTTTTGGAGGGTGTGCTTTTCTGTCGTGTTATTCCACTTTTTATTCTCTGATGCAGCTGTCATAGTCTTTGATGGTAAGTTGTTTCCATTAAGGAATGCCATTTCAGTTGTAACGCTTCACGTGCTTGCTCTATTAGCTTACTGGTTGTGTTGTGCTTGATAATCATTGTTCTGTGATGCTCACTGTGGTGTGTGAGTGTCTTAATGCCACTTGAGTGAGACTTTAACGCTTCACTAGTGAGGAAGATAACTTTAGTAATACGAGTTTCTTTCATAGTGTAGACAGATTGCAAAATCACAATGTTGCTGTCCATTACTATGTCTTTACAGATCCTGCTGTATTCCTTAGCAGAAATTGCAGAACCAAAGATTTCAGGCATCTTTTTAATGAAGAGTCTGTAGAGGATGTGTTGATATGTAGCTCTCTTATATGCCCAGTCACAAGCTGTATTAAAAGGAACGTGAAGAAGAGGAACGTGTACTTGAGGGACTGTCCTTCACCAGTGTTTGGAGCTTGTGGGGTGAAACTTCAGGTTCAGTGGACAGCTGAATTGAGTAGTGTTTTACTCATACAGATCTCTTGTTTGGGATGCTTACTTATGGTTACCTTGGTGGAACAGGACTGTAACTGCCAAACTGGGTCTTTAGCTGCTTGTTATCATAAATTCTTCTAAAGTATATGACTTTGTGCATGTTGGGACAGTCTGTCTTAAATAGTGAGAAGGTTGTATAATTTAGCTCATGCTGTGCTGCTATCAGTTAAGCAGGAACACTGAAAAAAACTAATAACAGATCTGAGTGAATGCTGCCAGATGCTTTTTAGGTGATTACCAAGACTGTCAGAGATGCTTGATAGGCTGCTGTGAGTGAAATGTTGCTTCCCATGTGATTATTAGCAGGAGACTTAACATGGAGTGAGACTGGGTGGGAGGGAAGTGTCAGACAATTGGATTTTGAGAAGAATGATTTGATTTGAATAGTATAAATGTGTGCCACAGGGCTTTACAGAGTTTAAATTTAGGCATATCACTAGTAATCCTAGGTATAGATAGGCAAAAATGGAGTGACAGTGAAATAATACTTCATTTCTGTAATTCTTGGGTTACAGTTTGCTTACAGAGTGATCTCTTTGTCTGGATGATAAGCTCTGAAGACAGAGGACTGCTTATTAAACCATCACACAGAAGGCTTTCAGCCTACTTTAGATCTGTTCAGAAAAGAGTGTTTCTTCAGTGCTTCTGTATTTCCTGAATGTTTCACTTTGTGAGCCCTGACTACCATTGAATTCATCCTGTCTGTGGGATGACTGTATAGTAGTGATTCCTTACAGCACATCATTGTAGTTTTTGGTAGAACTTGTGGTTTTCTTTACTGCTTAAGTAACTTTTCTAAATAACCATAGTCAAGATAAATAAACTTTCCTCATGCAAGGAGTTGCACGATGTGTGGCTTTAGCTATCTTAATGAGTATTTTCAGATGGCTTTTAATCAGCTCCTAATTCCTTTGCACTTCTTAATACTTTGATGTACTGATGAATAACACAGTAGGAAGGAGTTGTGAGTAGCTTATATGTGTTTGTGATCTGAAAATTTTTGGTGTCCAGCAGATTTTGTTTCCCTAAGCGAGTGGATAGGAGTGAATTGTGAGAAAGATTTAACTAACAGTACAGTACATGCAGCTGCCTTCTTGTTTTTCATTGAGAGCTAAAGCATGCCTGCTAAATTGATAATTCAAGTCCTGGAAAAACAACTTTATCATTTTAATCAGGATTGCTGGAAGTTAGCGTTTTGTGTTTCCTTCTTCTTCCTGCTGTGCCCCTCTCCCCGGTTTCCTTATCTGGAAAAAATAACTAGCAGTAATGAGTCTGTGACTGTCAATTTATTGATGCTTATCTGTATACCCAAAAATACAATTTCTAAGTTTTTTTTTAAGGTTCTCTTGTCAGACATGACATTATCTGTGACCTTTCCAAATTGTCAACTACTTATTCAGAAACACATTTTATTCTAACGGAATGTGAAAATCCTAACTTTATTTAATGCATGTACTGAGAAGCTGTTTCACCACAATGTTGTCTGAGTAGAGATTTGTGGGTATGATCCGTTCTGCTTTCTTTTTGTCCTTCTGTGTCTTTTCCTGGTAGAGATATGGGATCTGTAGAGGTTGGGCCAAAAAGTGCTGCTGTAAAAGCTAAATGTCACCTTATGGACCAAGCTGAATGCAGATAAAGAGTTGCTGAAGCCAGCATTAAGCCCATACAAGAGAAAGAGGTGGGCTTGAAGGCATGACATTGCCCACTACCTGAGTCATAGCAGCATTTTTCTGTGCTCGTCCACATAGCATGGTCAGGGGATTCTAGAACTGGATTTTGGCCCAGAAGCTGCTATCACTGCACTATTGTGGCATACATCTTGAAGGGTGCAAGTGTGCACAAATCTTTTCCCTTCAAATTTCAGTGAAACTGCCTATTTCTGTGTAATTTTCCTGTTCTTTTATGGTGAGATTTGGTTGAGAAGCATTACTTGAGATATGTTCTGATGTCGAAAACTGGGTATTAGCATAGGTGAATGCTACATCTTTTTTCTAACAAAAGTTGTCTGTGGAATATACATAGTTCAGCTTTACTAAATTAATCAGAGAGAAGGTAGCAGCAATCCTTTCTTATTTGTTTGAACATTTTCTGTTTTGTGGCTTTTCCTTCATTCTCCCAATTTCACATAATGCATTTCATTCACATTTTGCTTTCCTTGCTAGGCACTGTATTGGATTTTTTGTTGTTGCTCTCTGACACTGCTGTGCTCGATGGTCTGAAAACACAGCTTACTCTGACTACTTCTCATGTATGCTATTGTTTGCAGCTTCTCATGTCTGAATGTAAACAATAAAGAAGTTGGAAGCACTTATTTCTGTGGTGAAGTTGTCCTTTAACTTCTGTCTAGCCATTGTTAAAATTTGTTGATGACTTTTATATACCCTTTTTTTTTTGTTGTTTAGGAATGGTTTCTAACTGGACTAAAATTCCGCCACCACTTTTCAAAAAAGTTGTCATTGTGCTGATAGATGCTTTGAGAGATGACTTTGTCTTTGGATCCAAAGGTAAACAGTTCATGCCATATACTACACAGCTTGTTGAAAAAGGGACATCCTATAGTTTCATTGCTGAAGCAAAGCCACCCACTGTGACTATGCCTCGAATTAAGGTAAGTGGGTTTTTTCAACTTATGTTGTTTCCTTTAAGAAAGTTTTGGAGGCTGAGTTGTTACATATGTTCAGAGTTGGCATAAAGGGCAGGTTTGCTGTGTTACTGCAATTTTTGGCTGAAACTTGCTTTGCTGTAGTAGTGCATGTGATCAAGACCTGATTTACCATGGCCCAGAGGTGCTTTCTGTGGGAAAGGTCAGGTGGTTGAAGCAAATTAGAGAGGTAAGAAGTGGCAGCTTCCACTTAAGTCACTTTGTCTTGTTTTGTTCCTTTATTTGGCATCTATATGATGGGTAGGTATGTGAGAATCAGTTATGGGCAGTTAAGGCCCTAATGCAGGCTCAAATAATTGACTTAATCTTTTTGTTTGTAATCATGGGAAAGCAGTATCTTCTCAGTTGTCCAACTGTTTTCTATCCAAGACCATTCTGTGTTTTTGTGACTTCTGATAGGAAGTCCAGTTTCGTGTAAATTTCTTTTGTCATAGGGATGTTTTTGCAGAGCTTAAAAAGAAAATTGTCTCAAGTTCCTGGTAACTCTAAGATGGTTTGTCATTGTGTCATCAAAATAGTTGATCATCCAGGCTTCTCAATGATGCATCTGAGTGACATTTCTTGCATTGAAGAAGTTGAGGTAGTGAGCTTTGGTAGGTCAGCTAGCAGGCCAGTAAGAGAGAATCTGGTAACTCTTGATAGGTGGACTTAATTGCATTTTCCAGCAGATACTTAGTGACTGTTTTGAATGTTTACCATTGCTATTGTTGTGTTAAGTCAGTTTACTTAGGCCTTCTAAACTGTCTTTTTGGTGATTTAATGACCAGTAAATGAAGCAAATTTTAACTGGCATACAAAGTTGTTTTGCTGTCTACTAATTAAGAAAATATTATTTTCACCTTTCTGTAAAGCAATTATTATCTCTGACATCAGCCAGCACTGTGTTGCAGCAGGTGAGGTGACAGGGCAGCTCATATTCTTTTACTTTATTATGTTTCTTTATTGAAAATGTAATTTCTCTGCCTTTATTGCTGGTTCTCACACTAATACTGTCTTCGTTGCTTCCTCTTACTCTAATTTTGTCTTCTGAGAACTGGAAACTCTTTGGTTTCTGTTACTATGTCTCTTTTCTTGTTCTATGTAGGCTTTGATGACGGGTAGCATACCTGGTTTCATTGATGTTATTGTGAACCTCAATTCTCCAGCTCTGTTGGATGACAATCTGATATGGCAGGCAAAAACAGCGGGGAAAAGAATAATCTTTTACGGTGATGATACTTGGGTTAAATTGTTTCCACAACATTTCATGGAATATGATGGAACAACATCCTTTTTTGTGTCAGACTTTACAGAGGTGAGAGGCTTTTCATAATTGCAGGTTAAATTATATTAATACAAATACATAGTGGTAACTTCTAAGAATGAATGAGTAAAACTGTCCTTGTTCTGAAGTATGAACCTGGCAATTAAATAGAAATTTGATTTATGTGTATTTTCAGTATTGGCTGTGTGGAGCTAAGCATTTCAGTCCATCATGCATATGCTGTGGGAAGTGTTCGATGATACAGTAACAAACAGGGTGTTTCTGTATTACTTTCCTAAACATAAGTTAATGTCACAAAACTTGCTGTCATAGGAAGCAGACTTTCTTTGTTGAAAAATTCCAGCATTCATGTTTCCAGTTTGCTATCACATTTATATTTGTATGTGCCATCTAGAAAAGGCCTGCTAATAAATAATCTTGGTCTCTTAGAGGCATACTTTCTGTAGTATTGTATTGCTTTTGTAGTTGCAATATGAGTGGTGTTTCAGTATGTTATCAAAGAGGGAACGTAGAAAGTAAATGAAATAAATTGTGAAAAATCTTATTCTGGGCACTCTAAAAGAGTAAATGATTTGGCAATTTTAGTTCATATTTTGAACCTTTATGATTTGTACAACCTCAGGCCATTGACCTGTTGCTACTGATGTAAGAATTATCATATTTAAGGCAGTTAGATAGGTCTAATGTGAATTGGAAGGCACTTTTAATTGGTTATTCTAATAAGACTTACTGAATCTTCAATGCGGAGTGGAAAAATGCAAACATGCTGCTGGTCCTGTGATTATATGGCTCTCAGGCTCTTTATGCAGTCATTATGCTTTCTGAATATAGTCCATTGAACAGAAAGTTTTTTACAGTTTTTTAGTTAGTTATATCCAGAGTCAACAAAGCATTGTTGCATGTTAAATTTTTTAAAGATTTTTAAAATCCAGGGAGAGATATATATGCAACTAAACAGAGGTTGTCAACTTAAGCAGGAGAACATGTGAACTAGGCTCCAAATGGAACTTTTCAAATAATTTTTCTTCCTTGCTATGTCATCAGTTCTTTTTCTCACAGCCAGTACAGTCTTCTGTTTGCATGGTGGCAAGAATTGAGTTGAAAGAGCAGGAGTGAATTTTTTCCACTGTGCTTCCAAGCACCAAAGAGAGACTTTTCCCTGTACCTACTTGTTGTGAAGCGATACATCAGGAGAGTAAAAGATGAAAGTGACTGAAAATTTCTTGAAACAGTTTTTAAGCTGATCTGTGGAAGCATGAAAACCCATTTTCTCTGTTTGTCCGTAATCTGCTAATTCACTAAAATAGTGAAATGGGGTGAAAAATCTGTTTTGTAAGACAGATTTTTTGACTGTGTGGCATTGAACTAATCCATCTGTTGTGGTTTTTTTTGTTGTTTTTTTTTTTTTTTTCCTTGTTAAGACTGTGAGTGACTGCAATTCTTATTGGCTTCTACAGAATTTTCATGGGTTGTGTGATCTAATTTTTCTATGCTTTTTACAAGAGGAAAATTATTTCTACCTTTTAATTGCTTTTATTTTTGAGGTTGATGATAATGTTACCAGGCATTTGGATAGAGTGTTAAAGAGAAAAGACTGGGATCTCCTAATACTGCATTACCTGGGGTTGGACCACATTGGACATATGGCAGGGCCAAACAGCCCATTAGTGGGACCAAAACTTCATGAAATGGATAACATCCTGAAGAAGATTCATATTTCTCTTCTTTCAAAGGTAATATAGCTCATTCTTGGACCAATGTCTTGTTAGTTGTGGACTAACTTTAAAGTGCTTGCTTGTTTGTGGGTGGCAGCTTGTTTATTCCTAGAACAAAACGGGTATTCTGTTCTTTTCTTCCCTGGCCATTCCCCAGTTAATAGTGTAGTGTAACATTTTTAAGGATTTACTGGCTGACCTGTGGTAAATAACTCGCCCTTGGTGTGCAGGAAGAGGAGAGGAATGCATGCCAAAATTCTCTTACAATTCATGAATTAAAATGGTGGTTGGTGCTTTCTAGTAAAGAAATTCAGAAGAAGGAGTAGTGGGTAGGTATAGCTAATAGCTCTGATTTCTACAGTTGTGAAGGGTGTACCTAATTCTTAGATATTGAAAAGATTCATATGGAAATGGTAGTTGTAAACAGCATTTGTCTTATGGTAAATGTAGCATGTGAATACCAAGTCTGAATCTGGTTTTACATTTGGAAATACAGGATGTCACTTATCTGAATAGTCTGGATAGTGAAACACCAAGTCCTAATTCAAAGTGACCTGAAGCTTCTTTCTGGTTTGTTTTTGGCAACTGCAGTTCAGAATAACTGTTCATAAAATTTCGATAATATTTTAGACAAATGGGTGATATTGTATGAAAACAAGATTAGTTGAATTGATGAAATCCTCAGCCTCCTCAGCCAGAATACAGAGACTGGGAGAACGACCCCCCTGCAATCCAGGAGACAGTCAGTGACCTGCTGCATCACATAGACATATAAAAGTCTATGGGACCAGATGGGATACACTCGAGAGTGCTGAAGGAGCTGGCTGGGGTGCTCGCCAAGCTGCTTTCCATCATTTACCAGCAGTCCTGACTGACCGGGGTCATCCCAACAGATTGGAAATTGGCCAGTGTGACGCCCAGATATAAGAAGGGTCGGAAGGATGATCTGGGAAATTACAGGCCTGTCAGCTTGACTTTGGTGCCTGGGAAGCTGATGGAGCAGCTCATCCTAAACACCATCATGCAACACATGAGGGACAACCAGATGCTCAGGCCCAGTCATCATGGGTTTATGAAAGGCAGGTCCTGCTTGACAAACGTGATCTCCTTTTACGACAGGGCGACCTGCTTATTGGATGAGGGAAAGGCTGTGGATGTTGTCTACCTTGGCTTTAGCAAGGCTTATGTCACCGTTTCCTACAGCATTCTCCTGGCAAAAATGACTACTCGAGGTTTGAACAATTGCACACTTTGCTGGGTAAAAAACTGTCTGGATGACCGGGCCCAGAGCGTTGTGGTAAATGGAGTTAAATCCAGTTGCTGGCTGGTCACGAGTGGTGTCCCACAGGTCTCGGTGTTGGGGCCACTCCTGTTTAATATCTTTATTGATGATCTGTACGAGGGGATCGAGTGCACCCTCAGTCAGTTTGCAGATGACACCCAGTTGGGTGGGAGTGTTGATCTGCTCGAGGGTAGGGAGGCTCTGCAGAGAGACCTGGACAGGCTGGAGCGATGGGCTGAGGCCAGCTGGAGGAGTTTCAATAAGGCCAAATGCCAGGGGCTGCCCTTGGGCCACAACAACCCCCAGCAGCGCTACAGGCTTGGGGAGGAGTGGCTGGAGAGCTGCCAGTCAGAGGGACCTGGGGGTGTTTATTGACAGCCAGCTGAACAGGAGCCAGCAGTATGCCCAGGGGGACAAGAAGGCCAATGGCATCCTGGCTTGTGTCAGCAATAGCATGGCCAGCAGAGACAGGGGAGGGATCTTACCCCTGTACTTGGCAGTGGTGAGGCTGCACCTCGATTTGTGTGTTCAGCTCTGGGCCCCTCACTACAAAAAGGACATTGAGTTACTCAAACATGTCCAGAGAAGGGTAACGGAGCTGGTGCAGGGTCTGGAGCACAGGTCGTACGGGGAGCGGCTGAGGGAACTGGGGGTGTTTAGTCTGGAGAAGAGGAGGCTGAGGGGAGACCTCATGGCCCTCTACAGCTCTCTGAAAGGAGGGTGCAGAGAGCTGGTGTTGAGCCTCTTTAGCCTAGTAGAAAGTGACAGGACAAGAGGGAATGGCCTCAAGCTGCTCCAGGGAAAGTTCAGACTAGATATTAGGAAGTATTTCTTTACAGAATGGGTTGTTGGGCGTTGGAATGGGCTGCCCAGGGAGGTGGTGGATTCCCTATCCCTAGAGGTGTTCAGGAGTTGGGTCAATTTAGAGCTTAAGGACATGCTGTAGGTGGGAACTATGCTAGGCGAACGGTTGGACTAGATGATCTCCAGGGTCCCTTCCAACCTAGATGATTCTATGATTCTGTGAAAAGAGAGGTTAAATCCTGTTTGTGGAAGTTATGATCTCAGGAATGTTGCAGTGGTTTTGCTGGATTTGTTTAACATGTTTTGCTTTTGCCAACTATATGCAAGCCTTTATCTCCATCCTAGGATACAGAAGTAATAAAAGCACTTTACTTTTGGATACAACAGGTTATGGTAATAAGTAGAGATGACAAAAAGTTGCTTTTATAGAATAACATTTTTATTTTCTGCCATCTTTGATTTGTTAACTCAGAATTGTTGGGACAGGCCTCATTTATGCTTCTGTTTCTCTTCAGAAAAATAAACATAATTTTTATTACATGTAACATTATTTAAAACTTACATTAATATTTACAATATCAGTAATTTAGATCTTATATTAAAAATTCAATGAAGCTGAAGAAATAGAGGTTGGGAATACTTCTCTGTTAGTGCTCCTGGGGTCCTGATCTTCTTCCCACAGTATGATGACGTTTATTTAATCCTTTAGACATTTACTTTTGACTCTGTAAATAAGGAGTTTTTTAAAAGCTTTTTTGTGGTTTTTGTAATGTACTGACAAGTATGTTAGATATGTATGCATGCTTTAGCTGTTAAAAATAGATATTGCTACATAACACCTTGTTGCAGAGATGTTTTGTAATCTGCCTCAGGTGTTGTGAGTAAATTTAAAAAATGGAATTTGACAAATATTATGTGTTAAAATTATAAAGTTAGCAAAGCATTATATGTACGCAGCTTGTTTGTACAGTGACTTAAATTTATTTCTCTGACTTGCAGGAAGAAGCTTCTCTGCCCAATTTGCTAGTTGTTTGTGGGGATCATGGGATGTCTGAAACAGGTAGTCATGGTGGTTCTTCAGAAGGAGAAGTGTACACACCACTGCTGTTTGTCAGCTCTGCTTTTGAAAAGAGAAGTGGTAAGGATCAAAGAAGCTTGAGCTTTATTAGAACACATTGCCATCTCTAATCTATATTAGCTCTAGAATTCTTCCTGAAAAGTACTTTGGTTTGTTCTACAGGTATCTGTCAAGGCCCATTTTGCATGACCTAAAACTCTGGTTTTAGCTGGAGTTTGCATCTGTGTCGTGGTGAAACCATGACTTAAGTTTTGTAACCACCGAGAGAATGGGTATTTCTCAGATGATAACCTTGTGCAGCAGTGTCCTTCTTGAGTGTTGAAAGCTAATGAAATCTGTTGTCAGGATCCTGGAATACTGGTAAATGGATAGCATTAGAAGTAAAATCCTATTTGAAGTGAGTTTTGTCTTTCTTGGCCAGAATATTTCTCTGACCTCCATTCTCTCTCAGACAACCAGGATAGAGGAATGAATGACAATTTCTCATGCTGAGAGTAACAGGAAAGAGGAAGAATTGCTCTTGTGAAAGGTGGAGAGATGACAACTGTGAAAATGTGACTATTGATTGCTAAGTGTTAAGGAAAGAAAATGGAGTATGAGTGCATTTACTGTACTGGCCAGGCAGTTAATTTTAAATAATTGGTGTGAGTTTATCTGCTTCTGAAACTCATTTTCTACTTGTATATTGTAGGTTAAGGTAAGAGGAAAGAAGGGAAAGGCGTGGTAGAGAATCTTTAGTCTAATTTGTAGAGTCTTGCTTAAATAAACTACTTGACTGAGTGAATTGATGAAAGGTAGTGATACCAGGAGTGAATATTTTTTTCATAATAATACTTCCCTCTACCTTTCATTCTGCCTCTTGCTCATTTCCATCTGATTTCCTTGCTTTTAAAGCCTGTTTGCAGAACCTTGCCTTGTTTACCTTGCTGAAGGTTCCTGCAGCACAGTGGAAGTACATTTATCTGTCTGTCATTTCTAAAGCTATTATCCAGCTGCAATAGAAAGCATTCTTGAGGAGTCATTGAACTCTTTTCAGATATAAACCAGAACAAAGTCAAGAGCTGACCAAAGCTCTCAGGTAAGTTTTTGCTTTATAAATTTCACTGGTATGTGTTGACAGTCAGGCCATATGAATGTAGATTCTGTAAATGCAATCCCTTTTTCTTTGGGATTAAATTCTGTTAGGTTTGAACTGGATGTGCAGTTTTTACAATGCACCTGTCTTTAGTGTGCTGTCAGAATATTACTCGTGTAGCCTTCTACAGTTATGTGTCACCCATGACTGGCTAAATGCATTTGGTAGTTTGGCTTTTTTTAACCAGTTAAGAACTTGCTTTTAAAGATGAAATCTGAAAACTGCTGGCATACAGGCACTCATGCAAAGAGGCTTTAGGGATTACAGATGGCATTCTGTATGGCATTAATCAGAGCTAGATGAGAAATGAGAGAAGTTCTAATGCACTTAAAGGGATCCTTGATAGTAATAAAGACTGTATATAGAATTCTTTCTGTACTGTATGTCAGTCAAAACCCACTCAATGCCTGGAGTTACAAAGAGAACAAGGTAAAATCATAATAGAAGAACACAGTTATATAACTAGTAAAGCACACAAAGAAACAATTGGCAAGACAATTTTAAACAAAAGGGTACTTCTGTAGTGAAATCACTGATGCATGTAGATATCTGTAGGACTGAAGGCTAATCCTGATTAACTGCAGTAAGGTAATGGACTCCTGCACAAAACCCTTTAAAAATCACTGTGTTTGCTTTCATGGAGCCATGGATTTGGTCCTCAGCATTCTTTACCTGACCTCTAATGCTGCTTGCCTAGCAACCTGTTATTAATTAAATCTTGAGCTGTTGTCATTATATCAAGAAGCTTCTAGAATGCTGTCAGCATTAGATTCTCATTCTTCATTCATGCATTAGTCTACAGTAGTGCTTTATATTCTTTCTAATGTAGAAGTTATCAAACTTTCTTAAGATATAGGATGCAACTTGATATTAAAGTGATATCATAGACCATCTCTTCTCTTACTTGTTTAGTATTAATATTGTGTTTACAGTAGTTCCTAGCATTGAAGAGTAATGCTCGCTAAGAATTGAATAAATTTTGAGCTTACAACAGCAGAGGACAGCAGCTGAAAAAGATCACTCGGCTCTCTAGATCACTTGAAATAGCTGATATAATGCCAGTGAAAAAATTTTGGAACTAACAAGATGCCAGCTGTCTCTGGAGAAACAGAATGGGCCTGTTATTGAAATACGTTTTTTCTCTCTCTTTTTTTTTTTTTTTT